AAAGGTACACTTAGAACAAGAAACATCACACAGGCCAGGTAATAGCTCTTTGTGAGTCTGAAGATCCAAGGGGGTGGACTCGTGTTTTTGCAGAACTGATTGATGGGATGGGAGAGATCGGGAGGAAAAAACACACTCCCTGCCATAGACAACCACCCAACAGAGGAAATTTAAAATATGAGAGGGAAGATTGAAGCCCTGCTGAAAGATTAAAGAAAGGAAAGAACTACAAATGGGCAGATCAATTGTTGTGTGAAGATCCTGAGGTGTTTAATTCATACTGGGCTGGGCTGTACTTGGAAGTCACACAGTTGTGCTGCACGGATGATTCTTGTATCTTTCCAAACCTCGTAGATCACAGGAGTCACAACCACCAGTGACCAACGACCAGGGTTCATTTCAGCTAGAGATTGCCAGCATGTCAGTGGAATTCCCCATCCTGTTTACCCAACTCCAACCTGTGCTCATCAGATCATAAGGGTTTTGGTTTTTTGTTTTTTTAATCAAAATTGACCTGGAATTGACCAAAAAGGGGGAAAAAAAACCCACCTTTATTTTTCCTGGAAAACTGACTTAAGTATAATGAAAATCATGCCAAACGATCAGGGTTTTCCTTTATCTTTGGCCAACAGGGAGCTCAGCTATAAATTTGTAGTTTGGCTTATTAACTGTGTAGCATTTATGATTTCCATAATAGCAGTCTGGTTTTCTGCTTGATATTGATTGCCCCAATTAAACGTCTGCAATTGCTCCATGGACCTGGATTGGCCTGGCCATGTTTGTGGCTCCAACCGTCTCGAATTAGACCAAGGATAGACTCTGGGGAGGCTCATCCACAGCTTGACTGAGCCATTTAGGTTTCCTGACTTGGATTTTCCAACTAGGCAATGTGAAGGAAACTTCCAGTCCATAGTTGGAGTATATGCCGTGGGGTTCAGATCCCTCTTCACAAACGAGGCCCTCTTTCTCTCAGCTGCCTGGTGTTGGCTCCTGAAGGCTCTCAGTTGAGCTCCTCTTGGAGAATTACCCTTACTGAGAGTCGCCTTGACCCAACTTGTGTTCCTTCCATGGGGATAGCCCATGTCCAATGACACTGGGTGTTATAGGCAACTAATGAATCATTGAATGCTACATCAAAAACTAATGATGTACTATATGCTGGCTAACTGAACATAATAAAAAAAATAAAATAAAGGGTCAGAACAAAGATTCTGGGGCCCAGGCAAGTTGTGCAATGCTCCAGCTGCATCCTACCCCTTTCTCCTGGGTCAGGGCTTCACAAGCCATGGCCTTTTTTTTTTTTTTAATTTATTTTATATATAGAAAGAGAGAGCGTGAGCAGAGGGAGGGGCGGAAGGAGAGGGAGAGAGAATCTCAAGCAGACCCCCTGCTAAGCACAGAGCCCGACGTGGGGCTCCGTCTTATGACCCTGAGATCATGACCTGAGCCAAAACCAAGGGCCAGACGCTTAACCGACTGAGCCATTCAGGCGCCTGCCGTGGCCCTTTGTTTGTAAATACTGTTTTATTGGGACATAGCCACACTCACTGGTATAACATTCTCTGCAGCTGTTTCTGTGTCATAGCAGGATTGAGGAGATGCAACAGAAATGGATGGACAGAAAAAAAACTAAAATTTTTATTATCTGGTCCTTTCAGGAAAAGTTTGCTGACCCTTGTCCTAGAGAGAACAAATGAAATAAGGGTTTCCCCCAAGAAGGGGCTCATTCCTTCCCTAGGTTGGAGACTAGACTCACTGAACCCCGGGCCCTTTCATCTCTGAGGGTCTGGGGGCTCAGCAAGTACCATCCCATAAAAAGATTTGACTGATATCAAAGGCAGCGTGTTCTGCAAAGTCTCTTCTATACCAGCCGTTGCACTAAGACACCTCGTGCTCTCACGTGTACCTCTCAGTAACGCCACGGCGTGGGAACTATATTATCCCTACTTTACAGATGAGAAAACTGAGGCCCAAAGAGAATAAATGATGTCCACAGCGTCCCATAGCAGGGCTATGGCAGAGTGGGGGCTCTCCCAGGGCTGTTCTGAGTCCTCGCTGCTGTTCGTGGGCACTCCTCTGTCCGCCTCCCTGTGCTAAAGGCCCAGCAGGAAGTCTGTTGGGACGTCACCATGAATAAACATGAAACAGGTTGGTTCAGACCCAACCAGTGGTTGCCGTATAAAAGCAACCCCGAACCCAATACATCGAAGGGTGGGTCTCTGGCAAGGGCATCGTGAGGAAGCCTTTTCTTAGGGTGGAAGAATCAGCCCACAGACAACCAGAGTCCCAAGCCCACCCAAGGCAGAATAGGGGCTCTCGCCACGGGTGGTACCCCAACTTGTGAGAAAATGCCGCCCAGAACTCGGACGGAACAGACTGACTTGATTACAGCTGACACCCACACCGGAACAAGGGCTAAAGACTCTGCATTTGAATTCAAAACAACAGCGATCCCAGGTAGGTCTGCTCCAACTCCCCAGATAAAGACGTATTACACGATAAGCACCACCCTTTTGTCTTCCTAAATTAAAAGGACTACACATCGTTTAGACAATGCTCTCCTTTAGAGCTATGCGCAGAAATTTATTCAATTTCACATTATTGTGATAACAAGACTGTAGGGAAATAAGAGACATTATGTGGGAGGCCGGCAGTTATTACACAAAGAGCAAAACTGTTTTTTGCTTGAGATAAAGGGAAGATTACATGTCAGGGAAATTAATCCGATTAAAAAGACGGACAGCACGCGTGCTGAGGTCACTTTCCGTTGACATTGGAAGGAAAGCTGCTGGTTTGTTTTCTGAGACTCTGTCCATAAAGTCAGAAGGTCTCAAGTTCACACAAGGCTGTGGAGGGAGAAAGAGATGCCCCAGTCACATGAGTGATGCAGTGATTGACTTAGGTGAAAACTTCTCTTTCTACTTTCTACCGACCGTACAGGTGCTGTGAAGTCCCCAGCTTAAGTTTGGAAAACAGCAAACTCCCTGGTGCTCTGCCTCTTTGGCCCTTGCTCTGGGGTCAGATAACCATCAATAGTGTCCCCAGCACCTGACACAGGTGACCTGTTCTGCAAACATCACCACCTTCACCACCTCCCAGGCTACGGAAACCTCCCACCCACAAGGATTTCTGGTCCATCACCTTGTTTCCTTGTTTTTTCACAACCTATCACTCACCAAAATGAACTTGCTCACTTTTTCATTGTCTACCTGTCTCCAGACAGAGTGTATGTTCCTTAAGAGCAAAGTTCATGTCCGCTGGCTCGGTCCCTTCGTCGCCAGCGCCGGGCTCACAGCAGATCACTGGTGCATATTCGACGGATATTAACGTAGTTTTCACGAACAGGTTGGAGTGTGTTTAAAATTTCACAAATACTTTAGTTTTTCACATCGAGCTGGCTCTGCTATTTTAGGGGTCCTGGTTCTAAGGTAACCAACTGTCGCTTTAACAAAGTGGTTTTTCATTTAAGATATATTTATTGAACACCTACCATGGGCCAGGCAAGTGCCAGGCTTCTATGCTAGGAATTCAAAAGTGAGCAAAATAAAATGCCTGCCCTCAGGAGCTTTCAGTCTGGTGGCGACAGCGGGGACGAGGATTAATGAAACAGCAATGCGGGCACAGGAAGGCAAGCTCGGTACGGGCTAGGAAGGAAAAGTACATGCAGGGCTCCTGAGAAAGTCATGCCTGTGCTGAAATCAGAAAGATGCATTATGCACTAACTAGGTGAGTTAACTAAATAAACTTGCTGAAGAGTGATTAGGGTTGCAGTTAAGAACAGAATTAGGGTGGGAGTAAAGATGAGGGGAAGAATAGGGTGAGTCCAGAGAAGAACTTTCCAGAAAAAGGGACTAGTGAGTACATGTGTCATAGACGTCAGGTGGATGTTGACCAAGAGTGAGTAGTTGATGGCTGCCTAAAATAGCTGGAAACAAAATAAGTATAGAAAAGAAGACAGATTTGGAGTTATTTGGGAGGTGAAATGGCATGACTTGATTTGTCCTACAAGGACATCTGGTGCCTGAGGCATTGACTGGCCTTCTCCGGGGCTGGTACCTGGGGGGCCCTCCACGGCTAGCAACCTGGCTTCCAAAGCCAAAAGAAGCCACTGAGCTGTCCGAGTGCGTGTGCCAAATAGGTTACGGCCCCAGGTGAGCACCTGCCTTGGTTGGCAGGAAGGTTTCAGAACTGGGATTCAGGACTCAGGCGGGAGGATTCCTGGAGCCCTTACATAGATTACTGTGGGCAATCAGGTGATTACGAGAGCTCAAGGTGATGCCTATTAAAGAAATCAATTGTGTTCCTGAGAACCCACGCTTCATAGGTAGGTAACGTTGCTTTATATAGCCATCCCTGAAACCAGTGTAGCTAAATAAGGAACAGAGAGAACAATGGGCCCCAAATATGAGCATCGTGGTTTCTTCTCTCTTTTGATCAAAGAAAGCCTCCAATGAAAGTAAAAAAATAATTAAAAAGTAAAAGCCTTATGTAATGAGATTTAAAAGAAAACTTTTGAAGGCAACAAGCAACCATGGGCAATGCTTCAAAGGGCCCAGAATCAATGTTTGTCAATAGCAGTTTTGCATCCTTTATCTTTCGTGAATAGAAAGTGTGATGTTATTAGGAGCCTGACCATACCTTAATTCTGCTTGAGATTTGATGAGTCAGAACTCTGTTAACATTCTCTCTGAATCAGCAATGGCCACGGCCCATAGCAGAAGCCTTACCCGAACCCAGGCTTTCATCTGCAACTGGGATGGTCGTGAACTCTCGGACCTTCTGCACTGAACCCTCAGCGGCCCCCGGGGTGCACCCAGGGGCCGGGGCTCTTGAACTCTGCTACTTTCTTTGGAGACTTTCTCCCCAGAAAAGAAACCACCCCATGACTCAGCCTAGTTCCAAAGTTACCATTTGTTTAATCAAGATAGTTGGTTTGCAAAACATTAAACATTAAACAGTATTTGATGCCTAGTTAATAATTGGCATCCTCTTCATTTGTTCCTGAATCCTTGGAGACTGACATTTGCCCACCCTAAAGGCATAGACAACAAAAGAAATTGCGTGTCAGGCAACACAAGAGTTCTTAAACTGCACAGATGCTTGCCAGAATGTCTGACCTCCATATTCTGCTGTTAATGGTTCTGGCGGGAAAGACAGCCATGGGGGTAAGTGTTCCTTTCAAACATCTGTAGTTGAGAGTCTGAGGTTATGGGGAGAACCAAAGCAGCTGGGCCAGGAGTGACTAGAAACTTCAGTCGTGAAGGACTGGGGTTGCCACGTTGAATATGGCTGGGTTGTAAGAGTCAATGCGTGCCTGCAATGTTGGTTGCTGTTGGGAAGTCTGTTCCACGAGACCATGTAAAACTGACTTGAGCCCTCTTGGAGGAGAGTCTCCCTGAGCGCCTTACAACTAAAGGGACCAGGGCAAGAAAATCTGCTAAGACAGTGGGCTGGGATCTGGTGTGGACCTTAGAGAACCATTTGAGAAGCCTTTGAAAGCTACCAACTCTCCTTGTACCCGATGATGGACCTACACAGTTTTCTAGCCATTTCAGGCAACACGAGGGTAAGATCCCCTGTGATTTGGCTCTAGAGGAGAATCTTGCTGGTTGCATATGATCCTGGCAACAGGTTTACTTAGATGGATTCATTTTGGAGAAAGCTTTGTGGGTAATACTGTTTCTCCCTTTTCACAGGACCCTAGTAGATGGGGCAGGGAGGGGAAGCAGGGGTCCAAGGGAGGTGGTGGTGAGCAGGGAAAGGAAATGCCATCTGAGGGTCTTGCATGGGGCTGCTCGGCATTTGGGAGCAGAGGGCTAGAGGAGAGATCAGCTTCTTCTGTGGGCCACTGGGGTCCCGGAGTATTGGCTGGATCTCTGTGGGCACAGGAGAGGCCCCATCAGCAGAAATAGAGCCTCCTGGAATTCCCTACCGGATGTGGTTTAAGCATGAGTGTGGGGTTGGGAGTCAGTGCCTTGAATCACAGCTTTGCCACCTTCTTGCTGTGGAATATTGGGCAAGCAACATAATCTCTCGGAGCCTCAGTTTCCTCTACTGCAAACCAACTGATAATCTCTCACTGATCTGGGGAGGGCCACGACTGATTGAATGAGGCAATGTATTGGCTTTCAATAAATGTTAGCTCTTTTCCCTTAAAATTTCCAGAATGAATACAACTTCTCTGTAAAAATCAGAGAATGCCCCCCTTTGTGCATGTGTGTGTTGGGGGGGAAGTGGATAGAGAAGCAGCAGGGGATGGGAACTGAATTAACAGTCATAACCTCTTTATCTTGTGAAATACCTTTGCATTTTATTTCCCGTTTTACTTCATAGAGCTTTTCCTGTAGGAAGCAGGTTCAGTTTCAGGTTTTCTGATTAGATACTTCAAAAACAAGAACCTCTCTTCCCTTTTCGGTAAACTGTCCTCAGACCCCTACCTTAGCCCCATATTAACCTGTCAAGTGTCTCACCTCTGAGAGAGTTTTCTTTTCCAATGATGACTTGTATATGTGTGCTGGGGTTGCAATTACACATTTTCAAGCGCCCCCCCTCTCCCCGCCTCATTTGATTGCTTGTTGGATGTCTGGGGCAGAGACCCAGCAGAAACAGCACAAGTCTAGAGGAAGAGGGGGCAATTATCAGAGGCCCACAAGGGGCCCAGAGAAAGTACCAGTTGGAAAGAATTAAAGCCTAAAGTTTGAAGGCAAGGAGAGAGTTGATGCAGTCTGTTTGAAGTTCACAAAACGATAATGGTCCCCAAAAATCCCTTTTTGGCCGGCCCCAGTGAATTTTTAGGGTTAGCAATGAAATTATAAGTCAATAATGGATAAAAGAGAAAATATGTGAGAGAGCCTTCAGGCAATGAGCTTAGTCGGTTCCAGAGAGAGGATTCAGGGCTTTGGAATGTTTTCTTATCCCAGATGTGTGCCAGACAGGTGGTCGGGAAGGCGGCTTGCGTTCCACAGGCCAGGCCACAGACATCCAGGGGAAAGTGGCCAACTCGCTCAGATGCTTTGGAGAGTTCGGGGGCATCATCGGGGGGAAGGAGCCACACAGCCAGATGGGCTGGGTGGCCTCTCCCACTGCACATAGCTAAAAATACTAACCAACTGCTATCGTTTAATGAGAAGTCCTGTGAGCCAGGCTCTGTGTTTTCAGTGGATCAGTTCATCTCGGGAAGGACCCTGAGAAGTAGGAACTGTTATTGCTCCCATTTCACAGATGAGAAGATGGACAGCTTGGCCTCATACCCCTGGGAAGTGGCAGAGCTGAGCTCTAGACTATGGGATACTGTCCACTGTCTGGACCAGATCTTTTGCCTGGACCCTGGTTAAAGATGAGATCTCTTCTGTCCAAAGAGCTTCAAGGGCATGGTCCTTTGTGTAGGAACAGGGAGCTCATAGACCAGGGGTTTATGTGCTGGTTGGGGTGTAACAACTCCATGTGCCTCTGGAACTTTAGAGAAAAGCAGTCACAGGGCCTGTGATCACTATCCTTTGGAAGGTTGTATGGACACTCTCCCATGAATTTAGGTCATGCAGCACACCTTATAATGCCTTCTCTTTGAGCTCATCTCTAACTTAGATTTTTATTCAGATATCTATGATCCAAAAAGGTATAGGTCAAATGTGATTGCCGTCAACACCAGAGCTTCAGCCATAGGTTCTTCCTGGATGGGGCTAGATTTGGTTTTCCTTAATGAACACCTGTCCCCAGCACAGCCTTGTATGGTTGTCCCCATTTTATGAGTGAGAAACAGATCCAGAGTTATTAAACTAACTTCCCAGCCAGGATTGAGGCCCAGGTCTGCCCAACTCCTTCCCCATTACAGGAAGCCCACTCAACTGTGAAAAGGAAGGACACCACCATCCAGGGCTCAGAAATCTCTTCTTGCTGTGGTTCTTGGGTGATTTGGGGGTGCCACTGGGCTCGGCCATAATGGAATCAGAAGCCAGAGGACAAGGCTTATTCAAGCCTGCCCTACTTAGTTCGGCCCATCCCCAGAGAGGACAGAAGACAATGGCCCCTCCTCTCCCCAGTGTGTTTGTTCCCACTCCTGGACTTCTTAAACCCTAGAGTTTAGATCTAAGAACTCTGGAACTCTAGCATCCTCTCAGGTAGAGCACCGCAGAAATTTTTGAATAGGCCAGAGTCTGCAAATTGGCAACTTGGGGTACATTTGGCTCACGGCCCAAGTTTTATTGGGTGGGTAGAAGGTCAGCCTAAGAGTATTTTAATTTCCTTTCAGTTGCTTGGTGACATTTGCAAATCAGAACATTTCACATAGAAGTACAAATTCCCAGCTTCTCTTGAAAACCAGACATTTTAGTAACATGGGGCTCACATTCCTGTTTGGCACCAACCAGATGAGGGGCTATTGCTCCCATTTTTAGAAGAAATTCAAGCCCCCGAGTCCATAGGCCCTACCACTTTCTACTTTGACACCCTTTTGCTTGCCAGATGTACATTATCTGCCAGATTCTAGCTTGGAGAGAGAGAGATAGAAACGAGAGAGCCCAGCTTGTCTGTTATGATGCAGAAACAGTGTGGATGTTGAAGGATTGGAGCCAGTTTTGGATGGTCAAGTAACTGAGTTCAATGTCTGATTAATTTGAGCATCCAAATCTGCATGCCCCCCAGGACTAAACCAGGCCTTTGATGGGAAGATACAAGCCACCCCTTTCTAAGCCTCAATGTTCCAGAATGTCCAAGTCTCTTTCAGACCCAGGAGGGATGTCCTTCCCTCTTGCTGGAACCCACACAGAGTCTTATGGAAAAGAGAGAGACTGAATTTCACTGCAACTTCTCATACATTTTTTTTTTTTTTAACTGATCCAAAGCACAATTCCAACTCATTAGCTTTGGTGGTATGCACTGGTATTTAGGGAAATCAGATCGCGGGAAAATCACATGTGTATATAGGCACAGATATATTTATATTTTAAATTCATTAGGGTTTCCTAAATGCAAAAGCCATGCTGCTGTCACAAAGAAACAGCATGGCAGAATATTCGGCAGCCGGGATTTTAAATAAAACATGCTTTTCTTCATAATTAATATAACAAGGTTTTCTGGCTTAGGACCTGGCAAGGATCCCAGCAAAAATGAAGGGGTGGGGGTTGGTGTGACATGCCTCTGACCGGACAAACAAATCCCAGGAAGAGGTTATGCTTAGTGAGCCCTCCTCAATCGTGTCCACACTTTGCAAAAAAGAAAAAGAAAGGAAGGAAGGAAGGAAGGAAGGAAGGAAGGAAGGAAGGAAGGAGAAAGAAGAAAGAAAGAAAGAAAGAAAGAAAGAAAGAAAGAAAGAAAGAAAGAAAGAAAGAGAAAGAAAGAAGGAAGGAAGAAGGAAAGAAAGTCAAACTCATTGACAGCAGTGGCTAATAATCATAATCACAGTGGCAACCATTTATTAAGTTTATTAAGTCTCTACCATATGTCAGCTGTCGTATGCCTACTGTTTATGATCTCATTAAAGTTTCCCGAGAGCCCCGTGAGTTAGGGACCATGTCATCCGCATTTGACAAATAAGAAACTAAGCTATAGAAGAGTTCAATAATCTGCCGCAGATGGCAGCCCTGGGGGGTTACAGAGCCGGGATTCAAACCTATGTCTGCCCAATGCCAGTTCCAAGCTCATTACCCCTGGGCTAGAGGTTGGCAATGTCAGGCGCTACCCAAGAACAAAAGAGGAGGTTCAGCTTGGTGTTGGGAGTGTCGGAAGAGGGAGTGTCTCAGAGTCTAGCTTCGGGCAGGCGACAAAGTTACTCCTACCCGGAGGCAACTTCCACAGTCCCTACAGTTTTTCTTTCTAACACCAGAAGCATCGAGGCTTGCCAGATGGCTAACCAATCCGTTCAGTGTTTTCAAACCTTACTCATGAATGAAATCTTGCTAAAGCCCAAGCCAGTTTCTTAATATGTTCCTTAAACATACTTATCTTTTCTCTATCTTGATAGATTTATTTTTAAAGGAAATTGTCCCTACTATAAATAGGGGGGAAAAAATCACAGAAAATGTCATTGAATTCTTACTGGTTACACTTGTCACGCAGATGCTCAGAACCTCAAGCCTGCTTTCTCCTTGTGGGAAGGGGAGACTAGCAAGAGGTGGAGACGATAGACTTAGCAGCTCCACCGAGTTTTTCTTTGTGATGGGTTTGGAAG